CCAGGAAGCTTGTGCAATGGAAACTTGATGGTGAGGGCCGTGGGGCGGTCGCTGAGGGAGCTTCTGCCAGTAACGGAGCCGGGGAAATGGGCTGGGTGGGGGGAGCTGCCAATGCCTCTGCCCTGAGGCTCGGCAAATCCCCCCCCCAAGCAGCCATTATTCCCCCTCCCCAGCCAGCCAGCCATCATCCCCTGACCTACTCCTTGCCTGCCCAGCCAGCTGGCTCAAAACCTCACCACTCTTCTCCTTGGCAGCGGCAGCCTAATGGACCTGAGCAAGCTGCTGGTTGCGCCGGCCTGAGGCACATGGGGGGAGGGGGAGAGGGAGGCAGGCGGTGCAGCAGCTTGGGTACCTCTGCTCCATCCAAGTTGAAAGCGTAGGCCCAGCAGCGGGATTGCTCTCAAACAATAAGAGCCGGGTGCATTGCTCGCTTGTGTGCACCTGCCTAATTGAGAGCAATCCTGCTGCTGCGCCTCCACTTTCTTGAACTCAGATGGAGCCCAGGAGCCTCTGGTGGCCACTTGAGTGGGGAGGACGAGCTTTGCTGCTGCTGCCGGACTGTGGCAGGCCGCCCCATCCTGGGGGGAAAGCAGCGGTGGCCTAACCCTAATCCCCACCCTGCCACCTCCCTCGCCTCGCCTCACCTGCAGGACAAGCCTTCTGCCCACCACCCCATCTGCCAGAGACCCCCTGGATCGCCCCCAACCCTGCCCGGCCCCCACAGGCATCCATCTCGAGGAGCAACATCGAGGTGGCCACGCCCACCCTGCCACACCCACCCTGCCAGCTTTGACCACTGTAGCCACGCCCACCCAGTGGGCCACGCCCACCCGGCACCCGGCGATACATAAGTGGGTTTTGGTTTGCAGTTTGGGCACTCGGTCTCTAAAAGGTTCGCCACCACTGATCTATAGTCTGGGCTTCAAGCCAAGTCTCCTTTAGACAATAACAAGTTGTAATATCAAACCTGGCCACAAGATGTCACCAATGCCTTTTAAGGTTTTTTAAGTCCAAAATTTTTATAATCCTTTTTCCAATTTTATTTCTTTTTTGTAAATAAAAACTAAAGTCTTCTGTAAAGATATCTTTTGGTTCCCAAATTTTAGAAGCATATAAATCCAGTTAGATTAAGGTTATTCTTTCAGTGTTTTAACTCCCCTGGATAGTCAGTTGCTGCTATTCTTAGAGGATGGGATAGAAGTTCCCTTCCCTCTCACAGGGAGGAAGATGCTTTGAGCAGCTTTTACAGGAAAAGAAAATACTTGGGATCGAAGAGAGGTTCAGATCTCACCCAGTCTCATCCGCGCTGCTTTAGAAGTGCCTGGTAGTAAGTTTGACTTCGGCTGGCTGCAGCCTAGTGACGAGCCATATTAATATGGCCGGTCTTTCGTCTGCCGGTTTGGAGGGCTGCCCCGGATTGAGTGCAATGGCTACCGCCCTCCTGCGATCAAGCGGGGATCCCATCCTTGCTTGTCGCCCCTATAGGGCGACTCTCAACCCTTTTCAGGATTCCCCAGTGGAGTGAAATCAAACGCGGAAGACGGAGCTTGCCTTCCAGCATCTGCGATGGCTGTGGTGGGAAACCGGAAGTCTATTTCTGGGTAATCTTAGTAGCAATGATGATGGAAGTGATTCTGTAGAGAATAAGGAGGATGGTCTTGGCAAGAGAGGAAGATCAATGATCAAGACAACAAGTAGATTTTGTTACTATAGCCCATTTAAATAAAAATAATTTTAAGCCTATGTGGTATCTGTTTCTTGGTCTGGTTTACCTTTTCAAGAATAGAACTCAAGAACGTGAGACAAATTCTTCACTCACTCAACAGAGGTCTATTCTCAAGTTGCTTTCAGAAGTCAAGGAGGAATGGTAACAAAGACAAATGACTTGTGCTGAACAGAGATGCAATTAATGTCAAAAATTAATTCACAAGAGTGATCAATGCTATCTTTGCCCTATGTCCAAGTATGGATCTGGATTCCAAGGAATTTAGATAATCTTTTTCCAGCATACTCCAGAATTGTTCAGTGACCAAGAGTAGGTTATAGCTTGGGCAATAATTATGAAGGGTGTCTGGGTTTGAAGAAGACTTCCAAGGAGTGGCAAACTACAGCCCCTTGTAAAGTTGCAAATTGTACCTTCTTCAGAGGTTAAGCCTTAGCCATTGTCTCATCTCAGGACCTTTTCTCTATAGAGTGAACCTTTCATTATCTATTTCAGAAGTCAAGAAAGGCGTGCTTAATTACTATACCTGTGAAAGTAGCAAGTTTTTGACATTTATCCTTTCCTTGATTTCTTCTTCATTTTTTGATCATATTTCAGAAACTCATAATTTCATTTTTTCCATAACATTGTTTTTCTGAATCAGTTCATAACGTCATAAACGACTTTAAGTATCCCCTAATTATCCAGGAGAGCACATGCTGTAGTTTGATGAACTGCCAAAAAGGTTTTATTTTAATGAGTGAGAAAAATTAGTTATTTTCAAGTTTGAATTGTTAAATGTTGGGTCAAAAAAAATTAAATGATTTACATAATTTCAGAGCCACCTTCAGAACAAATTCCTGCATTTTCTTGCGTGCCTCTCTGGGTCTTTCACTACCTTAAAATAACTATAGGCTTATCTTCTTCCTTAGAATCTGATCAGGGATGAAGGCATCACAGTGTCTTACCTCCTGCTGTCTCTGTTCTTCCTTGGCTTGCTACTCGTAGCAACATTGGTAAGATGACATCTTGGAAACATTTAATTTCAGTTGAAGAGTTTACTGAATAAATTAATAATTTCTGAGTTTCCTTAGACTGTTCTACTGGTACATATGGTGAAAAAAAAAGCTTAAATAAGCCCTAGCAATGTATGTATACTTTCCCACTCTGATAGATTCTGGGAATTAGATAATTGTAGGGTGCCCTCTGTTACTTTTGCAAAAAGAAGTGTTGTGTGTTTTTTTTAAAAAAAATCATTTACTAAAGGGGGTAGTTAGTTAACTCAATAAGAGGACTGATGTGGGTAGTAAGATTAGCTTTGCTGTACAGTTCATTTGCTCTTTGCAAAGCTCTTATTCACCAGATTTATTGTTTGATCAAATAATAAGCTACTACTGTAGAGCAGGATAATCATGCATATTAAAATGCAAAGGATGAGCTTCTAAATTGATAGTGAACTGTAAAAGGTTCAAACCACTTCTACAATGAGATATTCCCCATTGCAGAGCAAACACAGAATAAGAACAGTGGGATTAGTCCAACTGAATTTTCTATAGAGCTCCACACTTTTTTCCTATTTAATTTTTAATTAAGAACATCAGTAAATAATAAAAAAAAGTACAGGGAAAGGTTCTTACGGTGTAATTTTAGATGTACACCAATATTAGCAAAATATCTTGAAGTCTTTACATTCAATAGTTCATATGATCAGCCAAGTTATGAAAATACTTGACTGTGTAAAGTTATTAAGTGTTTAAGTAGAAACCGGGACCAACTTAATTTATACAATTAAAATGTTCCTTAGTTGTCCTACTTGATAGAAAAGAACCTAGATTTGTCATATCTTGAATATTTAGAACATATCTTTTATACTTTAAAATTCCCCCATACACTACTATTTCGTATTTTCAGTATTCAATATTTGTGAAGCTCCCTTATATTTCAAGTAACAAAATTTCCATTACTCTGATTTTCTTGAGAGTTCCACAATATGCAAGGCAGTGTGTTTTCATAAATTGGCCAGATTGTATTGCAACTTAATCACATCTGCTATGGAAGCCAGTGTTTCAGAAATGGCTATACAATTCCTAGGCTGATCCCTCCTTTCTTACAGTCTCCTCTGTCCATGCTCCACCCTGCCAGGTTCACCATGACTAACTACATAAAATGAATTCAAGGAAGCTTCTGATTGAAACTAGACAAAATATGTTCCATCAAGTGCAAGGGGATTTTTGCTTAAGTATGTATAACCAAAATTACAACCTGAGTTTCAGGAATGCTAAATGTTAAGCCAAGCACAGATTTATTATGATTTATTTGTTAAAATCATTTGCTGCGCTTAAAACAGCAATATAGGAAAAAATAATACACGGAAACGTAACAGTAGCAAAGCAATGAAACAATAAAAATAAACTAGGAAAGTACAATAATATGAATTAAAAGATAGGAGAAGGAGAAGCAGGGGAGATGGGGTCATCTAATTAGTCTAGATTGTTTATATTGCTGTCTAAAGCTTATTTATGTACAAGTAGCCCTTGATTTACAGCCACAATTGAGCCTTTCTGTTGCTAACAGGATAGTTGTTAGCTATTAGTGGTTTTGCTCCATTTTACGAGCTTTGTTGCTGTAAAATGGGGCAAAACGCATTGCGAATCATTGCAGTTGTTAAGTTGTTAAGTTAGTAACACGGTTGTTAAGTGAATCTGGCTTCTCCATTGACTTTGCTTGTCAACAGATCACAAAAGGTGATCACATGACCCCGGGACACTACAGCCATCATAAATATGAGTGAGTTGTCAAGCATCCAAATTTTGATCCCGTGACCATGGGGATGCTGCAATGGTCGTAAGTGTGAAAAATGGTCATGTCACTTTTTTCAGTACGGTTATAACTTCGAACGGTCACTAAAAGAATGGTTCTAAATTGAGGACTATCTGTATTACTCTTAATTTGAGATAGAAGAAGAGGAAAGAAGGCTTCCTTATTAAAAACAAAAAATCCACCCATGTCAGATTATGTTCCGAAAACATTCACATTTGAATAAACAATGGTTAAAAACATCACAAGAGTTAATATGGAGTTAAGAATGATTTATCTGTTAAAAACAGTAAAAACTACATCAGAGAAATAATTTCCCTTTGAGTAATATTGTTTCCTACCAAAAATATTCCTGTAGGTAAACTTTATTTAGGAAAAGCAATTAAAAAACATCAGGACTACTGATATATTTTAATCTAGATCTAAATGATGGCAGGACAATAAATAGAATGCTCTGTATTTTTCTACAAGGCATTTAAAATTAGGCCATTTTTGTAGTAACTGCAGGTGTAGTGCAGTATAATTCTTCATTGATTTCAGTGGTCCGGTTACTGTAGAGACCAATTTTTATAAGGTATAAAAGGGAAAAGTTGTGCGAATGACTGCTGATTTCTTATGACCCTAGCATGTGTCCACTCTATATCCAGAGTCAATATAAGAAATAGAATATATGCTAAGTCAGGGTTTCCCAATCTTGGCCACTTTATGGCTTGTGGACTTCAACTCCAGAATTCCTCAGTCACAAGTCACAAGACATAAAGTGGTCGAGGTTGGGGACCTCTGTGCTAAGTGAAATAAGGTCTTTGTTTACAATAAATCTGAGTGTTAATTTGGCCATGTAATTGCTTTCTTGAGTTGAGTGTTAAATGTGATTATGAGCCCATAAGCAAAACATCCCCATTCTGTGTTTGCTAAAAGAAGTTTCAGGGGTAAGGTTAAAAAAAAAAAAATTGCACCCAATAGCATACACTTCATTTAGCATCAAATCGGAAAGGACTGCATTTACAAGATTTGGGAAGTATTTATAGTAGAACCTTAAAGCCTTTTAAATGGTAATGCATTCTTCCCAAATACACATTAGAGGGAGAAATTATTCACCGAATTCAGTGGTAATTCGACTGAGGAAAACTACTAGGCATAAAGCTTTCCACCTTGAGTGCAAAACTATAATGGACCTTTCTCTTGTGACATACAGAGGCGCTGCATAGCATTTTCCTGTTCTCTTCAGCAGAACCCATAGGCTTTCTCTCCAGAGAGCAATAAATGCAGTCTAGTTTATTTTCTCGTAGGTTTGGCGTCTTGTGAAGGCTCCATCAGAACCCCAATTTCCCTTCCAAGAGGACAGGCGACAGTCTGTAAGCCGTCAACCATCGTTCACTTATTCTGAATGGACGGAAGACAAAAACGATGATGACTTCCTTGATTTAGATCCTGTACCAGAGTCACCTGTTTTTGACTGTGTGATGGATATGAAAGCAGAAACAGATCCAACAACTCTTACAGTTAAATCTGTAGGGCTGCAGGAAAGGTAAGGTAGCATGTGAAGAAATGCAATCAGCTGATTACAGGGAGGGGAAGCTTAGCCATTATGAACAATCAACTTAATTTGGACCAAATAAACTTATTTTCTTTCAAAAAATAAGCAGCTCAATAATTAATTAATTCCCAATTAATATTTATCAATGTGCTCTATGAAACTGTTATGGATTTCTCAAACTGTATTAATCTTGTTAAAGTGTTGAATTTTCTGGCTATTGAACAAAAGTAAATCTACTTTTACTTACTGGAAGAAAATGATCCATTTGTTATTCATAGAGTTTGTTTGCCACTGATGCTTTTCCCACAGTTTTTGATTTGTTTTGATAATCAGTGGCAATAAAAGATTGCTTTGAAAGCAAGAATATGTCATTTGAGAGGGTTATTTAACCCTATCCTCATGTCAACTTTCCTCAGCTATTATAGTCATTCCTCTACTACTCTAAATCTCACAGTTATCTCCATGGGAATGCCATGCATGGAAAAAAAGCAGTGCATCTTGCATTCATCCCTCTTTTCTCTTGCTGGGATGGATGATCTGAGAAAAGCCTTAAGACAGGGAGGGTTATCATCTTCTAGGTCTCTATAGCGCTTGTCTTCAAGGCAAATCAAAAAATAAAATCTTAGAAAAGGAAGAAAAGGTAATTCTATTTGTGGATCTAAAGCCCTTGACAATATTTTGAAATAAGGGGTGTAAATTATTATATTGTCTGTTATTCTTCTAATAAATAAATAGGGTTTTCCCTGACCTGTCTTCCAGGGGTGTGAGTCTCCATTCCAATATTTTCTAGCCAACGTAGTTGTTAGGCTAACCTTTATTAAATTGAATTATTTGTTTTAGCTAGAATGTTTTTCTCTCTTAAGTAGCATCAAATTCCACATTTCAATATTCTATACTCAGAAGGATAATATAATAACAGGTAGTCCTTGCTTAGTGATCACTTAACTCAATGACTGTTCAAAGTTATGACAGCAGTGAACAAGGAAACATATATCACCAGTTCTTGAAGTTGCAGTCATCGCAGTGTTCCCACAGTCATATAATCACAATTTGGGTACTCGGTAACTAGTGCATAATTCTTACCCAGAGTCACCTGATCCCCATTTTCTATCTTCACTGCTGGCTTCCAACAAGCAAAATCAGGGAGGAAACTGTCAGAAAGTCACAAGTCACAGTTACGACTTGTGCATGTGAATCACTTAACAACTGCAACCCGAACTGGTTGTTGTAAGCCAGTGGGGGTCATGTGATTTCTCACTTTAGGACCATGTCTCTCCATGATGGGATTGCCGTTCCCAATGAGGACTACCGGATTAATTTTTGGTGATTGCTAGATGTATTTGATTACAGGTCCCAGCTAACCTGGCCATGGTTTATTGACTGGATGTAATGTATGTGAAAGGAAGTGTAATACAATACATCCAGAAGAATGAAAAGATTATGAAGATACGTACATCTTGAATTTTTCATGTTATCTGGATCTCAGGGTGAACATCATACAAATAGGGGAAGTGAGTGATTCATGTTGATTTGTTTCATAGCCATTAACGGTTACCTCTGTATGTCCAGGCGAGGTTCAAATGTTTCGCTCACGTTGGACATGTGTACTCCTGGCTGTACTGAACAAGGGTTTGGCTATATCATGTCTCCCAGGGAACAGTCAGCTCAAGAATACCTCCAGACAGCATCAAAGATTCTCTCAGAAGAGGAACTGCACGAGAAAGCTTTAGATTCTTTTGCTCTCCAGACTGAATTTTTTGTAAGTATTTTGGTGCCCCCGTTTCCAAAATAAGTGTTTCTATTAGCACTGCCCATACTGGAGCATATCCGTGCTCACAGTGATCTGAAGAAAATTATAATATTCAGTGAAATCGACTGCGATAATTTAAAACAAAAGCGTTTTTTTAAAAAAAAATTAAATTCATTAAGCTCTGGGGAAAATCTAGTTAGAAGAAAGGAAAAGATGATTTTGGTGCCCTGAATCTAGATTTGGAAATATTTCAAGGATGGCTTGACTCTTCCCCACCCCCTCATTTCATGCATGGATTTCTGGAAACAACCTTCCTTTTAGGACAGCATTCAGCATGCACTTTTAACTTGCTGTTTGAATCAATGTCTGCATTTTGAAAGTTTTCAATATATCCCAGCTATGGCTGAATAGGGAGGAAATAGGAACAGTTTTAGGAGACATGTCCTTGGCAAGGCCGAACAGCTTTGAAAGGAAGCAAAAGCAAACATTCTTTCTATATTTCATAAGTATAAAACAAAAAGAAACCCATATAGTACATTAGCATACAGCAGCGGTTCTCAACCTATGGGTCGCGACCCCATTTGGGGTCGATCGACCATTTCACGGGGGTCGCCAAGCAAGGCTGTCCGCCATTTTTTTCCCCTTTTCCAGTGGGTGCCTTACCTCCCTTGAGCTGGGCCAGCTGGTGGTCGGCCTGCTCCGTCTCTGCCACTTGCCAGCTACGCCTCGGCCGGCGCAGGGGGCGGAACCATGCATGCGCGGCGCTCCCGGGAAGGGAAAGTCCTCGACTTACAACCGGTTGGGTAGTCCTCGACTTACGACCGGTTTAGTCCTCGACTTACGACCGGTTTAGTCCTCGACTTACGACCGGTTGGGGGTCGCGGCATTAAAAAGGTTGAGAACCACTGGCATACAGCATTTGCATCTATCAGAACCAGATTTTTGTTCATTTATTGGAGAGTTGGGGTATACACCAGTAGTAAGTTCTGAAAGAATGGAAAGGTGACTTGAAGCCTAGGAAAAAAATGGCTGAATGAGGCGAACATAACCTGGTAATGTAATTTCCTATGCTTAATCTCACTATATTGACTAACATAACTTAGATATTATCCATTGCACACACATATAAAAAAATCTACAAGTTCTTGCACCTGTTTTTATGAAACGTTGCCGGTTTCTTCCTGGTAAGCATTTCTGCAACAGAGCTTTCCAGCCTTATTTGTACAGTATTATCACCAGATGGGACTTCCGCATCATCAAAACACACACAGTCATTTATAAATACCATACAGTAATTAAAATTAAATTCATTAGTTTTACTGTTGTTTGTACAGTGGTGCTTTTAATGACTTGCATTCCCCCTTGGTCTTATCTTGAGTAATGAGGTGCATAAAATTAACATAGATTTATTTGATAAGCCAGAAGCATAAGGGATTTTTTTTTTATTGTTTAGCAGAGGAGTAACTATGTAGTTTGAGCTCCTATAAGGTTATCCGGTGATCAACTAAGTTATTAAAAAGTGCCAGTAGAACAAAATATTAGTACAACGAATATTAGATTCAGGTTCATAAAAAAGGTCAGCCATAGAAATTCACTCTGTCTCAGTGCAGTGTGCTTCACGGGAATATTTTAATAAAGAAAAGGGAGAGCCCCAATATAAACTGCCTTCCTGGAGAAAATATAGAATATAAATCTGAAAATAACAAAAAATACAATGTTATACTTTAATCCCATTCCTATTAAACTAAAATAAAAGGGCTTTAAATATATCTTACAGGCCCGTCACATTTCCTTTAGTACTCAAATTCTCCAATTCACTGGGATTGAATCTGGGTTGAACGAATTTTCACAAGTATTACAATATTCTTTTTTTTTTATAAATCCACTTTCACATTTTAAGTGAAAAGCTATTAGGATTGTAATATGTCTTGGAGTAAAATTTCTTGCCGCCAATAATTCTTGTTCAAAATGTAATGATATTAATAAGTTATTAATTTTTATGTTGTATCTTTCAACAGGAAATCCCAATGAACTTTATTGATCCAAAGGAATATGACATTCCAGGTTTAGTCCGAAAGAATCGCTACAAAACAATTCTCCCAAGTAAGTACATAGAAATCCATTTTCAGTGCAGAAGCATTTTGAACTATGTGTTAATTTATATGTTTGTGAACTTACAAGCAGTTTTAAACTTGATGGGATTTGCCGTAGTGGTGACTTGATAGCTATTTGTAAATGTCAGGAAAGATCATTGAGTTGCAGAAGCATTTTGGAGTTGTTCACCAAACTCCCACAAAGAATATGGATTAAGATCTGCAGCGCAATACAAGTAGTCCTCAACTTACAACAACAAGTGAGCCCAAAATTTCTGTTGCTAAGTAAGACAGTTGTTAAGTGAATTTGGCCCCATTTTACAACCTTTTCTTGCCACAGTTAAATGAATCACTGCAGTTGTTAAATTAGTGACACGGTGATTAAGCGAATCTGGTTTCCTCACTGACTTTGCTCGTCAGAATGTCGCAATAGGTGATCACATGACCCCGGGACACTGCAACTGTCATAAATACATGCCAGTTTGCAAGCATCTGAATTTTGATCACGTGACCACAGGGATGCTGCCATGGTCGTAAATGTGAAAAACAATCATAAGTCACTTTTTTTCAGTGCCATTGTAACTTTTAACGGTCACAAAATGAACTGTTGTAAGTCGAGGACTACCTGTACGTACATTCCCAGGCAGTAAGTATGAATCTCCCAATTTGAATGTTGTGTGATTTCAGTACCTCTCAGAGTTTGAGAGATAAATCGGTCAAAATCTTCTGAGATTTTACTATTTCCTACAATTTTTAGAATTTCTGTTTTGGAGGGATCCAAGGTTATTGTATTAGACTGCATTATATTTCCTGATAAGGAAAATGTTATGTTGGATGTTGGTATTTACTATTTATCTGGTCTCAATCATTTATCTGGTCTCAATCTAGACCAATCATCTGGTCTAAAACATCTGATTGTTTTAACAAAATGGACTAAAAAATTATATCAACTGTTTAAAATGCTTCCTGAAATGTGTTTTTCTTCTATTTGAAATACATCCGTGCACTGAAACATTTGATCTGCATTAACACTTTACAATTGCAATTCCGTTCTTTAAAAAAGCTTAAAAACAGTTTTCAATTAGAAAAGTTGCCCACAAAACAGAATACGTTGTTCTGAAAATAAAAGAAAATATTTAAAGTTTTCAAAAATAAATGTTCATTCCAGCTAGAACTGAAAGATTAAATAGGCACTTAACTTAATGATCAGTTAGTTTCTTGTAACGCTATAGTTAATTGCAGTTAGCGAGAGAAATGATAATAGTCTTTAATTCAGCTAATGTATACTGCGTTTCTTTTGCAGATTTACAGATTTGTTGTGGGTAATTTCTTTTAAGCCTTTTGTCTCAAAAATTCCATCCTAACCGTATGAAAATGGTTGATTTCAGAAAGCTCATAAAAAAGTTACTGCTCAAAAGCAGCACAACATTAAAACCTATAGAATTATAGCAGATCTCTGCCTTTGCACTGGTATTTAGATCAGGCTACATGCAACGTTAATAATGATTAGTTCTGCAATAAGAAAGAATACTGAATTGTAAAAGGTATTGCAGCACCCTGCTTCTTCAGCATTGCTGTGTTCTGTTCATTGCTACAAAATGTGGTAAAAGTATTGACTAATATGGATTCCAAGGGCAATTAGAAAGAGATGTTAAGCCTCTTAATGGGTACTAGTAATAGCATCTAAATACAGTCTTAGGGTTGTATCCCACTGAATATTAGCTGTAGGTGAGCAAAAGCAGTGAATACTTTCTACAGGACATCTGTATTGTAACTGTGGGAAGCAGAATTCTGAATTAGGTAGACCTTTAGCTAAAACCATCAGGGTTCTCTTGTGTTTCTTCAAATCAAACATTTGGCCCGTTCCTACAATTCCAGATTAAGGGTCTGTTGTGTAATATTTTTGTACAATTCATGCTGGAAGAGAAAAAAACTTTTTTTTCTCCATTCCGATTTATAACTCAGCATTGTTGCTTTCCATTTTCCAGATCGTCACAGCAGAGTGTGCCTTACCTCAGATGATCAAGACGATCCCCTTAGCTCTTACATTAATGCTAATTACATCAGGGTAAGACTGGCAGTTCCATAGAATTTTCCTGTATAGGTGGTTTTGTTGGGCCTCAGTTATTTTTCAGTAGTTGCAGAATTCCACAATCATTTCAGTCCTTCCAACATGCTGACAGAGAAACAGATTCAAATCTCAAAAGTTTTAAAATATACATGCGGTGATTTAAAGTGTGACTTGGCTAGCAATCTCTGATAGTGAATTACAGTCATCTTTACCATCATGCTCTTTTCAATCCAACCAGGCCCCAAAATGGGGTGCCAGATAAAGCCCAAATGAATTCTCACCAATTCTCACCATAGGAACTGTTAGTTTTTGTATAAATCAAAATTATGTCGCTTGTGCTTACTTGTTTCACTGCATGTGAAGAGTGAGTGAGTATATTTCTTTCTAATTTGCTAAAGAGCTTCTGAGTGAAAACTTGAAGGACTGAGGTATACGTACATTTCAGCACTCATGATCCTTGTTTTTGTTTTTGTTTTTTTTTGCTAGGGCTATAGAGGAGAAGAAAAAGTATACATTGCTACTCAGGGACCCATAGTTAATACTGTCAGTGATTTCTGGAGAATGGTATGGCAGGAGCATTCTCCAATCATTGTCATGATTACCAATATAGAAGAGATGAATGAGGTAATGCTGAATCTCTACTTTCTATTTTTTTTAATCCTGTTTTGCGCTTTCAGTGTGCTCCTGAATGAAACATGATTCCATTCATAAAACTAGTCTGCTTTGTAACATCAGTAATCAAGGTAAAGATGGATGATGAACGATGAATAAAAACTTTTAACATATACTTGAACGTCCCAAAGGTGCTTTTTCAAAAGGCAACTGGACTTCCTTTGGTTTTGCTTGAAGACATTTTGCTTCTCCTCCAAGAACAAGCAAAAACAAAGGGAGTCCAGTTGCCTTTTGGAAAAGCACCTTTGGGACAACCATGACCTGGATGACTGAGATTCTCCATAGATGTATATTTGAGCCACTCCCGAAGTACATTTCCTATTTTTTCTTTTGAGATTGAAATCTCTCTTTTGAAATGTTCCTGTTGCGCATGGATATTTAATTTTGTTATTAAAGTAAATGTGATTCTTGTTCTGCTGTTGCTTCAGCTGCAAGGATGAATACTGATCAGAATGTGATTGCAGTAGAGCTATGTCAGCAGCTAGTTTTTCTAGAAAGAAACTTTGATAAGTACATAGCAGTGATGGCCTAATGCAGGAGTTTTCAAACTAGGCACACTGGCTGAGGAATTCTGGGAGTTGAAGTCCACAAGTCATAAAAGGGCCAAGTTTGAAGACCCCTGGCCTAATGCCATGTTAAGGCCCTACTAATAGAATACACTGCCAGCAAATTTTGTGGCCCTTGATTCCACCTGTTGAACACTTGTTTAGTTCTGCATTAGCAGCTTCACATGTACTTTGGCTTCTCTCCTTGCTGCCCTTTTCAACAGAGCCATAAGAATCTTGAGCATCTGACTCTTTTAAGATGGCACACCAGGACAGCTTTAAAAAAACCTAAAGTCTGGTTGGCAAAATATTTGACCAATTATCTAGAAAAGTAGCATAAATCAGCTTTTACCAATCTAGAAAGCTTTTGGTCGACTGCCATGTTTTCATTCTATTCACCGCAATTTATAGCTGCAACTTTATAGCGTTATTACAAAAGAAATGGAAATCTTACACATCTGGAGTTCTCTGTACATACTTGTGCTTTATCAGAGAGACATGGTTTAATGAAGTCATTCATTATTGTTCAAGACCCTGGGACGCTTCACAATTTTTCCATTAAAAAAAAGATGTGATTGAATTGTGTTGTGACTCAAATATAAATATAGACTACAAGAAAAATCTTTTGTGTCCACACTATATACATTAATTCTAAGAATGCAAAGATTAAGACTCCAGTACTGTAGCACTCTCATAAAATATAATGTGAACTGACAGACAGCCCACGGAAATGCGTGGGTGTTCTTCATTTCAGCTGTTCCAAGACTGAGCTATAGATAGCTACTAGCACTTCTGATTACGGCGTGTGTGTGCCCCCCCCCAATGGAATGGTGAAAGAAAAATTTAGGATACTGCCTGTTCATCAGCAGGATAGCTCTTAAGCATAGAAGAAAATGAGACATACTTTGGTATGGAAGGAAAAGCAAAGGAAACATAGATTATGGTTAAAATGGGCCAGACTTACTTGGGGGCCGTGCAGGAAAAAAATAATCCCTTAATTCACTCCTATGGGGATGCAATTGAGAAGTGGTTTGGATGATTTATGAATATTACAATGCAAGCCCACTTCCTCCTGATCACATGGCACAGGGCATCCAAATGCAGCCCATCCTGTGTGTCTCAGTTCACACATACAAACACAGATACAATATGAGGAAACAACAGAAAACACACACACACACAGAGAGAGAGAGAGAGAGAGAGAGAGAGAGAGAGAGAGAGAGAGAGAGAGAGAGAGAGCACAAATGTTCCTGATTTGACCTCACAGATACACTTGTACACATACACATCTAACACTCCCTGATTAGCCCCTAGAACAGAAAGTGCACATCACACATACACAAAGAGATGAAAATGTTTCTTCATTACAAAGAACACAGATACCCCCTACTGTTAGTTAAGGGGGTAGAAAAAAAATCTGGATACTTTCCCTACTTTGGTAAAAAATATTGTTTGACAGTGGACAAATGTGATTGTAGAATGGGTAGACTCCAGCAGATGGGGGGGGGGGCAAAACTGAACATTCAGCAGAACAAATAGTTGGCATTATAGGACAATAGCATTTCTCATCTATCTGTCACATTCCACACCAGCTGCAGTTTTCAGGTCATCTTCAAAGCCAACCCATGTAGGGGACATTATAGTTCTCAAGGTGAGTGGTAATGAGGGCATTAATGACTGCAGATAGTCCTGGGCTTACAACCATTCAGAGTTAAAACAGCACTGAAAAAAGTGACTTATGACCATTTTTCACACTTACAACCATTGCAGCATCTCCTCTCCCTTCCCCTCACATATTTTAATTCTCTATTTTGTACTTTCTTCTCTGCTCTTTGTTTGTCTTGAGTCTTCTATTCTGGGAACTATACTTTACTTGCTTGGGGACAATTCTGAATTGTCTATAAAGTTATGTCTTATACCCTTGTATTATGCATATGACAGTGGTAATATAAATTGGTTTCAATTTTTTTAAAAAACAAATTCCTGTAAATGTTCTATCCTTGCTATCTGCATCTCATTCTTCCAAAAATTAAATGGCTCCAGGCATGATGGTGATTTTCTATTATAGCCTCAAATGGGTCTAAATTTAATTTTGTTGTTTTTGAACCCCGAATCTTACGTTTGAATTTAATCTTGTCATCATCAAAGTTAAAAATCTGAATTGAAACTTGGCTGCTTTGCAAATCCCTACTGGTTTCTTTGGTCGCTGTAATAATGGCATGAGAAAAATAAATGTGATAGGATTTTCCCATTTCTGCAGTTCTTAAACCAAGGAAAATATTGAAAAATATATGTTTTAATGGGGAGCCGGGGGGAGAGAGCCAAACATTCTGACTCAGGTAAAATACCACTTTACATCAGTTAATACTTTTACTTATAGCACAACTGATTTCTGAAAACATTCTGCAACAATCCAAATGTATACAAGTAGCTCTCGACTTACAACGTTCATTTAGTGACCGTTCAAAGTTACAATGGCACTGACAAAAGTGCCTTATGACTATTTTTCACACTTACGAGCGTTGCACCATCCCCATGGTCATGGGATCAAAATTCATAGGCTTGGCAACTGTCCCATATTTATGACGGTTGCAGTGTCCTAGGGTCATGTGATCCCCTTTTGGGACCTTCTGACAAGCAAAGTCAATAGGGGAGCCTGTTTCACTTAACAACCATGCCACTAACTTAACAGCAGGGACTCACTTAACAACGGTGGCAAGAAAAGTCTTAAAATGCGGCAAAATTCACTTAACAACCTAAGTTTGGGAGTCCGTTGTGGTCGTAAGTCGAGGACCACCTGTACTTTTCGTAAGCTTAATAGAGCACATTTACTTTTTGCAGACTTCTGCCTTCATATGTGTGATTTAATTTTTGCCTAGAAATGTACAGAGTACTGGCCAGAAGACCAAATTACCTATGAAGGAATTGAAATTACAATTAACAGAGTCATACAAGCAGATGATTATCGGTTAAGGCTTATTACCCTAAAGGTAAGATATAAAGTAAGGGGTTACTTATAGACAATTCAGTAAAAAAAAAATGGAAATATTCTTTTCATGACCTTGCTGATGATGTTGTTTCTAAATTCCATTCAGGTAAGCAGCACATTGTGTAGCTTGGGATCCAAAAGTTATAACCTTTGCAGAGCTTCAGTTTGAAGGTGGCTTTAGTAATGTTGATAGGCCTCTTAGAAAGAATACGAGGGGTAGGCAACCTTGGCTCTTTTATGACTTGTGGACTTCAACTCCCAGAATTCCTGAGCCAGGAATTCTGGGAGTTGAAGTCCACGAGTCATAAAAGAGCCAAGGTTGCCTACCCCTGGTGTAATACGAAAGCCATCAAGCTCTTTGTAGAGCAATTAGAATGATGAGTCATTCCACTCAGCCACCTACTAGCAATTTATTACCACACGCTTTCTCAATAGGCATTACTAATCTGCTTTTGTTAACTATTAAAAAGCCTTCCTAAATGTACTGGCTTTACAACAGCCTTAGTATTTGTACCATATCTGTATTTTTAACAGATTTCTACATTTGAGCAGGTTAGATATTAACAATTAGCTCTATAAGAGCTTTGGTGTGACTGGTATTAGTATTGTTGAATCTGTGTGGGGACCACAGTATGGAAGTACCTGCATTCTGCAGTGATCTCGCCAATTGCCAGAAAACCCTCCATGGACGACTTTATTTTCTGCAAATACACTCATAACATTTTCACTGCTGGTTCTCTTAAGACAGCAACATTTCTTTCATCCTCAAAAGATCAATCCTTCCAAAGAGAGAAACAAATATTTATAATTCATGCCTTTCTATAAAACTGTTTCTGTAAAGTGAGTTGAGCACAGAAACAAACAAACAAAAAAACATGTTAACAAAATCATCTACTATTTTAGCAGCTTTTTTTGCCTGGAGAAGTGAATATTTCAATATTTACCTATTCTAAAAACTTAATGTAATCTACCAGCTAAATATATATCTTTAATCAAAGCCTTCCCCCCCCCCACCAAAAAACCTCCATGGAATATAATGTTTTTAAGATAGAGGTTAAAAAATGGAGGTAGTGACAGATTTTATCTTCCTGGGCTCCAAGATCTCCACAGATGGGGACTGCAGCCAAGAAATTAAAAGACACTTGCTCCTGGGGAGGAAAGCTATGGCAAATCTAGACAGCATACTAAAAAGCAGAGACATCACCCTGCCAACAAAAGTACGTATAGTCAAGGCCATGGTTTCCCCAGTTGCAATGTATGGTTGTGAAAGTTGGACCATAAGAAAGGTTGAGCGCAAAAGAATTGAGGCCTTTGAACTATGGTGCTGGAGAAGACTCCTGTGAGTCCCCTGGACTGCAAGGCGATCAAACCGGTCAGTCCTAGAGGAGATCAACCCTGACTGCTCTTTAGAAGGCCCAGATCCTGAAGTTGAAACTCAAGTACTTTGGCCACCTAATGAGAAGGAAGGACTCACTGGATAAGAGCCTAATGCTGGGAAAGATTGAGGGCAATAGAAGAAGGAGACGACAGAGAAGGAGGTGGCTGGATGGAGTCACTGAAACAGTAGGCGTGAGCTTAAATGGACTCCAGAAGATGGTAAAGGACAGGAAGACCTGGAGGAACGTTGTCCATGGGGTCGCGATGGGTTGGACACGACTTCGCAACGAACAACAACAAAAGATAGACGTAAACCCTCTATAATCGGCAATGACTAGTGGAGTAAAATGCGCAGGGACTCTATTATTTTTTTTACCTTTTTTAATATAGTAGTGCAATCTGAATTAACGGACAAAGCAACATTGCAATGTAAATTATCCTCACTTGCTAGTTGCATGATGTTACATGAGCCAGTTTAATAAAAAAAAAATTGCATCAGTATTCTATTGCTGCTTCAGTTGCTGTTGCTCTTGATTTAATCTAGTTGTCAGTATGTTAATAAAAAAAGTCAAAGTAGCCCCCATTTAAAGGGACTGCTAACATGCTAAATAATGATAATATGTTTGGGGGATGGAGACTGTTGAACAAGAGACATAGAACATAGAATAAAGGGTTGGAAGGAACCTTGAAGGCCTTCTAGTCCAACCATGTGCTCAAGAGGAGACGCTATACCAGGGGTAGGCAACCTTGGCTCTTTTATGACTCGTGGACTTCAACTCCCAGAATTCCTGAGCCAGCTTGGCTGGCTCAGGAATTCTGGGAGTTGAAGTCCACGAGTCATAAAAGAGCCAAGATTGCCTGCCCCTGCACCATTCCAGACAAATGACTGCCCAATCTCTTCTTAAAAAAGTGACAGAGCACCCACAACTGTGACAGAGCACCCACAACTTCTGGAGGCGAGCAATTCCACTGATTGATTGTCCTCAGGGTTCAGGAAATTGATTGGATCTTTCTTTAATGACAACCAGTAGGATTTCCTTATGTAGCTAGACATCTCTCTTGGTTTGTTTCCTTGCTAGCTTCCTATGCAGAATTTTCAGTATTCGAAAAATCCTCACCCAAATAATTTTAAGGTACTGAGTCATTCAACAGAAACATGCAGTTAATTTTTACCTAAAATTTGGAATGCAAATCAAGGAATTATATGCTGCCATATTTTCGGGAGTCTTTGATCAAATGCCAGTTGATTGCATATTTCAAGGAAAGGTGTTAAAAGTCTGAGCCATTAGAAGTTCTTACCTTTGGAAATTCTGGGCTGCTTTTTGAGGTTCCTCTAATGGGAGATGCTTTTCATATCTGAAAAGAAATTCATGTGGTTGCCTCTAACTCTCTTGCTCCCGATTTTCTCGCTTACTGTCTTATAGAATGGCGAAGAAACAAGAAAACTGAAGCACTACTGGTATACATCTTGGCCAGACCAGAAGACCCCGGGTCACGCACCACCCCTGCTCCAACTGGTTCAAGAAGTGGAAGAAGCCATGCATTGTGCCGAAGAAAAGAATGCCCCAATCATTGTTCATTGCAGGTAGATTATTAAACATTGTTAGAAAAAAATGAGAGGGGAAAAAAAGTACTTAGGTCATTTTCCTATGCTCCTGACATTCATTTGAAACATCCTTTGTTTTTAATGTTATATACAATGCTGAGCTTCGTTTTCATTTTTTCTTTGACATTTTGGACACACCTTTTCTATGTGTCCACTCTTAATATTATAGCAAGGAAGTATCCCCTGCATCTAAGCTTGTTGAGCCCAGAGGAACCAAAATTTCCACCTTAGGTTTCACTGTAAACTAGGGCGTGGTCTGACTCTCTTGGGTGCCTGTTACGCAGTGCAGATGAAATGTGAACCGTGCAGCCATTTCATTTGTCTGAAATGGTGTAGGGCCCTGCTTGAGCAGAGGGTTGGACTAGAAGACCTCCAAGGTCCCTTCCAGCTCTGCTGTGCGGTTATCTGTATTTGCAAGACCGCCTCCTACCAAACACCTCCCTTCAACCAGTCCGCTCCCACAGAGAGGACCTCCTTAGGGTGCCGTCAGCCAGTCAATGCCGGCTGGCGACCCCCAGGGGGAGAGCCTTCTCTGTGGCAGCTCCTGCCCTCTGGAATGACCTACCCCCCCCCGACCTACGTACAGTTGCGGACCTGCGCCTTTTTCGCCGAGCCCTGAAGGCCCATCTATTCCGTGCAGCCGGCCTGACGTAGTTTGATTATGTTTTAGTGGGGGTTTTGTATGGGGTATTTTAGAGCAGGCCTGTTATTTAATTTGATTTTAGAACAGAAACTTGCGTATATTTATCGTGGTTTTTATTATTACCTGTTCACCGCCCTGAGTCCCGTAGGGGAGATAGGGCAGTATATAAATTCAATTAATAATAATAATAATAATAATAATAATAATAATAATAATAATAATAATAATAATAATAATAATAATAATAATAATAATAATAATAATAATAATAATCATCATCATCATCATCATCATCATCATCATCATCATCATCATCATCATCATCATCATCATCATCATCATCATCATCGTGTTTTAATAATGGGCTTATTGTGTATTTTTACTGACCAGTCCTGGATCTGATTCACAGTGTGTGGTCATTCCCCATCATTCTTCTCTTTTCCCCTTATTGTCCAATATAAAGTGCTGCAGATACTACAGAGATCAGTTTAAAAATATGTCTCAGTCATCAGTTATAAGTGCAAATCAAACATTAAAGCATCCCACATAAAGAGCTCTGTCATATCACAACCACTCAGGGTGGCTAGCCATCCCCAATTAAAAAGCAAGTCTTTTCTTTGAGACAATGTCACCCAGGAGTAATTAATTTTCAGAACTTCCGGAAAGACACGGAGCACAGCCATCAGTCAGTCTAGCTATCTCTCTCTTGTCAGCAAGTGAAGGTCAAGAACAACACACCTAAAGAGGTGTTGCTTTCTGAGAAGACCCTGACTCTTTGGAAGACCTGACTATGATGTTCCACGTCATATTGCCGCTACTGAGTATACAAGGGAAGCCCCTGATTATAGATGCAATAAGAGATTTCATAGAAATCTTTATAGGACTCGTGACCACTTACTGGTTAACTCCACCCTTAGGAAAGTATTAAACAGAGCTATATAATTTGAGGCATAACCATTGCAGATATGTTTCTGATTTATTTTTCATATAATTTGACTTTGGTGAGCAGAAAGGAGCATTTATATTTTAAAGCTAAATTCATTTTTAGTAAGATTACAAAATGAAATCTTGTATAATGAATATTCATGTTGTTATGCAAGGTTGCTGTAAGTACCCCTTGTACAAGCAGATTATGGATGATGGGAGTAAGGTATAATGAGTCTCTCTAGTATTTTTCATAAACAAACCATGTGAGAACATAAGGTGCTATCATAATCTAAAGTAATAAAGTGCCATTTTTTCTGAATATTCTAAAAGTATATTTTTTCTGTTATAATGCAGTCAGATAGCTGTAATGTTGTGCTCTCTAAATTCATCATTTCTCTTTTAACAGTTTGCGTTGCTTTAAATTTACATTAACATAATTCTTTCCAATCTATGTGAAGGCATATTATTTGCAACTTCCTTCCAGTGCTTATGTATTCCTTTTTATCATTTTTTTTTCTTGGAGATTACATTTATAGCATTCATTTCCGTTCTTCTATATATTCGCATATATTATAGCATTCCCATACAAATCACTAACATACTGCACCTAGCATTTCCATGTTTTAATTTCTTCCCAAATTATTTCATCAGGTCTGATTTTAATTCCATTTCCTGCTTGTGTCTCTTTGTTTAGCTTTCTTCACTCACTTCTAAAACAATTTTTAATGTCTTATTAAAATGTTCTGCCTCTTTTAATCTTAATCCTTCCTTGTTCTCTTCATATGCATTCCTCACAATTATCTTTTCTTTCTGTACACATTATGTAACATATTTCTCTCACGCTCAGTTTTTGCAGCATTTACCTACAGCCTCTTCATCATTCCACCAAACATCGATTTTCATACTTCCCATTCATGCAATCCTATATATGTCTTGGCACTTTGTAATATAATTCTCACTTGTGTTCCAATCAAATTCCACAATCTCTTTCCTTATGCCCACTTTCCATAGTGAGGGCTCCTTGGTGCTCTCTGAGCTCGCTTGTTTTCTTGCAAACATTTCATTACCTAAACTAGGTAACATCATCAGTACTAGTGGACTGATGGACCAACACTGATGATGTTACCTAGTTTGGGTAATGAAATGTTTTCAAAAATGCAAGCAAGCTCAGAGAGCACCAAGGACCCTTCCTTTCAACCTTGATTTACAAATGTGCTCCTTTATTGGTACTTTGCACAGTGTTGGAACAGTGTTGACTCCTGACGGCTGCCTAGACTAGGACCTGCAATTCTCTTGGCAAGGTTTTTCAGAAGTGGATTGCCCTTGTCTTCTTTCTAAGGCTGTGAGAGAGTTAACAGGCCCAAGGTCACTCAGCTGACTTAATGCCTAAGACAGGACTATGGTAGAACTCTCAGTTGGTGCCTTAACCATTGCATCAACTGGGCTCTCTGTGAATAGAATTAGGCTCAGACTACATATTTGAGACAAATATACATTTGTTTTCTAAACAGGTACTCATAAAATAGTCACTCATTCTTGAAGTTTTGAAATGTCAGTCACTTTTTCTGCCCTCTCTCTTCTTCTAATTACACTCACCTGTTCATGCCAATTAAGGGAATATTTATTTCACCTGGTCTGCACTTATTTATAATATTGCACAATTTTTCTCAAATCTCATCTTTAGTTCTTCAGTTATCAATATTCATTGGAGTGTTAAATGCAACGATTACCAATGGATGAGTTTCTACTTTTATATGCATCCACAATAGCCTAAACAATGTACGAAATCACTTGTTCTTACACATTTTAGCTGTTTCATTCATATTTAAACATACATCTTCACTTCCCTGCATGAACTGTACCCCATAAGATCAGATCACCTTAACTCAAATCTATGAATTTCTTCACCTTTCATGGATACTAAGTATATCATTTTTTTCTTTACTCTATTTCATTTGTGCATTTATGCCTTTATGCTATTTCAGTAATAATTTGTTTTACCATTTACTCTCCTACACCTCTCCCAAAGTTTTCTATAAGTCATGATCATTATCAAATGGGGACATGGTCAGTCAAGGCTTTCACATAAGACTTTTTAATAATATTGAAAAATATAGTTTACATTACTTTCACTTCATTGATACCTTGAATTGCTCCACTGGGAGCCAGTGTGGCTTGCAAAGCAGTGATGTTATATAGACAAATCATGATTTGCTTCAAATCGCATGCACTTCTACTGTCTGGACTAATAGCCGCTTTTGAAAGCTGTTCATGAGTATTCTATGGAGAACAAATTACAATAGTCTAACTGAGAGCTGCACAAGGTATAAATAAAACAGAGCCTCCTGGTTCAGGAATGGGTGCACAAAATGAATATGGAGGCCCTCTGGGCCGTAGCTGCCACCTGTTCTTTGACCATCAGCCCAAAAAGACCTCTACCCCAGATTGTGTATCATCTGTGTCTAGGTGAATGCTACTGTTCTATCCCAGCCTACATGAGTCCTTGTTAAGCTCACAAGGAGAAACACCTCTTCCAACAAGCAGGCTGGAACCGCAGGAAAAAAACAATCCGCTTTTATTATTCACAGACCTGAGTCAATGTCCAAGGCAAACAAACACAGTTCACAGAAACTCGATCCTCAACACGAACGGTTGCCTTTGGCAACCAGCACCTTCCACACCTTCCCTTTTATTATGCAACCAAGGCGTGGCTTCCTAATGCCTTCTCCTTTGCCTTTGGAGCCGCCCCATTGCATTCCTCTGCCCTACTCTCTTTTCTTGCCGGCGTTTACGTGCATGCATTCCTCTGTCCTACTCTCTTTTCTTGCCGGCGTTTAAGTGCATCCTGGATAGCTCCCAGCTGTGAGTCATCACTGTCCAACTCAGGCTCCCAGCACAGCTGTGTCTCAGCCTGAGCACGAGTAGAGGGGCCAGGCTCCTCGTCAGACTGTTAAGTCTTGGAGCTCCTCAGAACCTTCCTCTGATGTCACTCCAGAACCCTCCTCCTCCTCTGATTCCTCAGAATCAGCTGTCGGGTCCACTGGCTGGCGAGGAATCACAACAGCTACTCATCCAAGTCAAAAATAGAAAGCATAAAACCCACAGCTACTTGATCTTTCTAGAATTGAATCAAAGCCTGTTCTCATCCAGATCCTTAATTGCCTCCAGGCCCTGGGAAAGAATCTGAACAGCATTATTTGGGCCACTCAGGGCAAAGATGTACAGCTGAGTATCATCAACATACTGATGGTATTTAACTCCATGTTGATGAATGTCCTCACCAGAAGTTAAATAGGAGTGGAGAAAGAGTCATGCTCTCGGAATGTAAGAGTTCAGGGCTGGATCCCCCCCTCCCTAACTCTGACTGAAACCAGTCCTGAAGATGGAAAAGAACTATTGCAAAAACTTGCTTCCTGCTCTCAGCCCCCCTCCCCAATCAACCCAAAAGAATATTAAAATCTATGTGGAACCTTAATTGAAATACAGTAGATGAAATTTGAATGAGATTATTAATAGGAGTATTAATGTGAAATTATTAAGTATTAATGCAAAATTAAATACAACACAAAATCTTTTAATGAAGCAATATATCTGAAGTAATTTCCAATAAAGAATAATATGATAGGTATGCATATACATATTACCACGGGAGAAAAAAACCAATCAAATCTAACATTTGTAGATCTGGGTGGAATGACTATATAAGTTGCATTTCTTCTTCCTGGGGGTCTAGCTGATGGCCCAAATAATTTAAGTGACAGTGATGGAAAGTCATCTAAGAAGCTTTCAGCAGAGCCAAAGACTTGCAAAACCGAGATGCTCTTGACCATGAAGTAATTGTTACTAGCTGTTTGTCTTATTTAAAATGACATGTTGACATATAAAAGCTGACAGAAACCAGATGCCTCACATAACATCTCTCTGGCTCTCTACCCTGTAACATTTTATCCAATAAAACTGCTAACCTTCTTCTGAAATAATACAGGGCCCATGGTAAAAGATATTCTGCTGGTTTTTTTATTGCATAATTTAGAGCCAGATAAGAAAACAAGCTCATTAAAGTGTCTTTTCATATGCCCAATCCATATTCAGTCTATGGGTTGAGTAGCACTTCTATCCAGCTTCCCACATGTTCTAGAATAACACCCCCACACCACACACCTACCTTACTTAGTAGTTAGAGTCAGAGGATATAATATCTGAGAAGCCAGAAGACACCAGATTTGTACACCTGGACAAAAAATCACTTTGGGCAAGCAAAGAGCTTCAGTCTAGTAAAGACTTCTGTTCGTATACTCAACCAACATTGTCTGAAATAAAATAATAATAATTTCCTAAAATTTGAGCATACACGGTAGAGCTAAACAGTTATGTTCAGTACCAATAAAGGAGAACATTTTTAGCTCAGGGTTGAAATGAGGAGTCCCTGATTTCACACGATGAAAACTCTTTAATTTCACAAGATATGGACAGACTTAACCATAGTTTCAATTGGGAAAATGTGACCATCCTAGACTAAGACCAAAATGCTAGGGAATTTCTAGAGGCCTGGCACTCTGACAAATTAGCCATCAATGGACACATAGACATCAACAGTACTATGCAAAGGAAACACTCAAGAAGCCAAAAGGAACAAAAAGATCAAAACACCTCCCCACCAGCAATTAGCACCCACATGAGTACAAATTAACTCCAAGATTAACATCAGACCAACAATCAAGTAAACAATACCCAATCAAGGAACTGTCAAACAAGCCAACAGTAAACAGCCCAACCAAAGAACATCTTAAGACCAGCCCAACCAAAGAACCTGTAAGACCACACTTACAGGGCAAGCCACTAGAACAGGGGTGTCAAATTCAATTTCATTGAGGGCCGCATCAGTATTGCGATTGCCCTCGGGGGACCGGGTGGGTGTGGCCAGGGTGGGTGCGGCCTATTGGATGGGCATCGATGGAGTGGGTGTGGCCTACTCGGTGAGCATGGCCAGCTCTACATCATTTGTGTCAAGGGTGCCTGTGGGGGCCTGGGCAGGAGTGGGACAGATCTGAGGGTCTCTGGCAGAAGGGGGTGGGACCGGGGCAAGCGCCAAGGCTTGGTCCATTTCTTCATTCCTCACAAAGGGTGACACTTCCCCAGCATGCACCCAGGGGACGGGGTCGACATGGCAGGGGCTGGTTCCTCGCTGTTTCTAGACGGCCTTGTGAAGCTAAGACTGAATGCGTTTCAGCATAGATGGCCACCACAAAATTGTACATTGGCTCCCGGCCGGCCTGGGCCAAGGCCAAGGAAGCGGGGGCCGTTCCCTCACTGTTTCCAGGATGGCTTCGCGGGCCACATGAAACCACTTCGCGGGCCGCATCCGGCCCCCGGGCCTTGTGTTTGACATGTCTGCACTAGAATATAAACTGAGAGCAAACCCCACTCCTTACTAGCACTGATGATATTACCTAGTTTCAGTAATGAAACATTTGCAAGAAAACAGCCAAGCTCAGAGACCACCAAGGACCCCTCAATTATGTTCAGTTTTCTGCTCTGACTCTTGAGTTCTGAATGGTGCTATAACATCCCCCTGGCCTTGTTTAAGAAGCTCATGAACTTGTTCCCAGATGGAAAAGATGTGAAGAAGATTTTCTAAACAATGTTCTATTTTTTGGCAGATCTTTCTCTTCACTTTTTATTTCTTTCTCTGGTCAGTGCAGGGATTGGGAGAACAGGTTGTTTTATTGCTACCAGCATTTGCTGCAAACAGTGGAAAAATGACGGTGTGGTTGACATACTCAGAACAACATGCCAACTGCGGTTAGACAGGTAAGATAATTTTCCTGCTAAAATCAAATCTAATGTAGCCTTCCCCTAAACGGTGGCTCTCAAATGTCTTGATCACTTGAATTATTCTTTATTTTATTTATTTATTAACTTGATATGCTACCCATTTCATTATCAAGCAACTCTGGGCCATTTCCCATCATGAAAACAAAGGTACAAAACATTAAATAATAATAATTGGTCAGGAATAATGGAAATTATAATCCAACATACTTTGTAGGCATCAGATTGTAGAAGGTTGCATTCTAAATCCACCACTCAATAACATTTACTTCTTTGTAATATGTAAACAAGTATTTGCTTCAGAATAAAATCGTGAATGTACAAATCATTTGCATGGAAAAGTTAGTGATTTTATTTGAAAAAGATTATAGTTTGAAAAAAGTATTAAAATTCTTGAATTTTGATTTTTTTTTCCCCTGTACAGCACTTATTTTATTCCAGTTAATTTTATTCACTTTATTTCTGTTTTGATTGTTTAAGAACACAGAGGATTAAAATGTACTTTTAATTAATCTTAGAATGAATTGTTGAGTTTTCTTTTTTTTTTTCAGTTGTGAGTTCAGTGAAATCAACATTATCAAAACAATTACTTGCCAAATTAAAGCTTAATCTTCTGTGTGAGTTAACTCAGTGGTATTTTCTGCAAACTTAAACCTGGCTTGTGTTAGATAGGTAGAAAATCCTGTATTTAAATACTTGTTCAGAATAGACTTAGCTGGACTATTATTTCTCCTTAGTAGCTCAGTTTAAGCATGGAGTTAAAAACAAAATTCCCGCCCTCCCACATCTTTGCAGATTGAAATGATTATTTTATAATGGGCTTTATCATGGTTATTCAGAATAAAATTCTAAATGATTTAAGAACGGTAGTTCAGTATTATTTATTTATTTATTTATTTATTTATTAATTTAATTTGTACCCCGCCCTTCTCCTCATGGGACTCAGGGCGGCTAACAGCCTCATAAAAACTACAATACAAATACAATAATTAAAAGCCGAATTAAAAAGAAATATTTAAACAGGCCAATCAATTAAAATTATCCTTAAAAATCCCCTGAAACTTTAAAATCGTTAAAAATTATCCCTNCGGAGGAGATGGATTGTTTAAGTTTAGAGTTTGGAGTTAGAGATATTAATATTTGTTTACTTGTAGTTGAATGTTAGCCTAGGTTTGGTTTGGGAAGTCCGGGGGGTGGGGGGATGGGATAAATCATTGTGTAATACTTGTGATGTATTTTTTCTTTTATGATAAAAACAATAAAATTCTATATTGAAAAAAAAAAAATGTCCAAGGCAAACAAACACAGTTCACAGAAACTGGATCCTCAACACGAACGGTTGCCTTTGGCAACCAGCACCTCCCACACTTTCCCTTTTATTATGCAACCAAGGTGTGGCTTCCTAATGCCTTCTCCTTTGCCTTTGGAGCCGCCCCATTGCATTCCTCTGTCCTACTCTCTTTTCTTGCCAGCGTTTACGTGCATCCTGGATAGCTCCCAGCTGTGAGTCATCACTGTCCAACTCAGACTGCTAGCACAGCTGTGTCTCAGTCTGAGCACGAGTAGAGGGGCCAGGCTCCTCGTCAGACTGTAAGTCTTGGAGCTCCTCAGAGTCTTCTTCTGACTCTGATGTCACTCCAGGCCCCTTCTCTTCCTCTGATTCCTCAGACTCAGCTGCCGGGTCCACTGGCTGGCGAGGAATCACAACAGCTACCCATCCAAGTCAAAAATAGAAAGCATAAAACCCACAGCTACTTGATCTTTCTAGAATTGAACCAAAGCCTGTTCTCATCCAGATCCTTAATTGCCTCCAGGTCCTGGGAAAGAATCTGAACAGCATCATTTGGGCCACTCAGGGCAAAGATGTACAGCTGAGTATCATCAATATACTGATGGTATTTAACTCCATTTTGATGAATGTCCTCACCAGACGTTAAATAGGAGTGGGGAAAGAGTCATGCTCTCGAAATGTAAGAATTCAGGACTGGATCTCCCTCCTCCCTAACCTTGACTGAAACCAGTCCTGAAGATGGAAAAGAACTACTGCAAAAACTTGCTTCCTGCTCTCAGCCCCCCTCCCCAATCAACCCAAAAGAATATTAAAATCTATGTGGAACCTTAATTGAAATACAGTAGATGAAATATGAATGAGATTATTAATAGGAGTATTAATGTGAAATTATTAAGTATTAATGCAAAATTAAATACAACACAAAATCTTTTAATGAAGCAATATATCTGAAGTAATTTCCAATAAAGAATAATATGATAGGTATGCATATACATATTACCACGGGAGAAAAAACCAATCAAATCTAACATTTGTAGATCTGGGTGGAATGACTATATAAGTTGCATTTCTTCTTCCTGGGGGTCTAGCTGATGGCCCAAATAATTTAAGTGACAGTGATGGAAAGTCATCTAAGAAGCTTTCAGCAGAGCCAAAGACTTGTGAAACCGAGATGCTCTTGGACCATGAAGTAATTGTTACTAGCTGTTTGTCTTATTTAAAATGACATATTGACATATAAAAGCTGACAGAAACCAGATGCCTCACACAACATCTCTCTGGCTCTCTACCCTGTAACATTTTATCCAATAAAACTTGCTAACCTTCTTCTGAAATAATACAGGGCCCATGGTAAAAGATATTCTGCTGGTTTTTTTATTGCATAATTTAGAGCCAGATAAGAAAACAAGCTCATTAAAGTGTCTTTTCATATGCCCAATCCATATTCAGTCTACGGGTTGAGTAGCACTTCTATCCAGCTTCCCACATATTCTAGAATAACAGCCCCCGCACCACACACCTACCTTACTTAGTAGTTAGAGTCAGAGGATATAATATGTGAGAAGCCAGAAGACCACCAGATTTGTACACCTGGATGAAAAATCACTTTGGGCAAGCAAAGAGCTTCAGTCTAGTAAAGACTTCTATTCGTATACTTGTTGTGTTCTTTGTATTCCCCCCCCCTTAATCCCCTATGCATATCCTGATCACCCATTAAGGGTGATTGCCCTTCACCATTGATCGCCCATTAAGGGTGATTGCCCTTCACCATTGATCGCCCATTAAGGGTGATTGCCCTTCTCCATCTGCATACAGTTTCATGCCCGTTGCTGGTTGGCTAACTAGCAACAGG